TAACAAAAACTAATTAACAAAAAAATATGGATAATGAAAATTGCTAATTATTGAGATCCTGTCAATTAATAATATATAATTCGAATTATCTAGCTGGATATAAATCTAATATTAAAATAAATACGTAAAATATTCTAATTGATTGATAGTAATTAAAAATTTGATCCTTCTAGATAACATCGATCTGAACAATTAAAAAAAAACAATGTCAAAGGGCCATCTTCAAAGAACCCTGCCTCCCTTAGGAAGCATTTTGGAACACGATTTATCACATCGATATAAAATTATTTCCATAATTTACTGGCTTCGTTTGTCGGACACACTGTATAGTACGGTATTAAACCTATTATTATTATTTCAACATTTTAAAAATGCTGCACTACTTTTTTGTCCCAAGTTGTTTAAGTTACACAAAATTATGAGAAATGTGCTGATGCTTTTCGTTTATTTAGCTACAACATTGTCGATTTCTGTATCCTGTTTTTAGTATTTCTAAAATATTTTTTGTCACCAAGTGAGCAGTAGAAAAATTAAATAAGAATTTAATAACTATCTCGCTCAGTTTTGGATGTTCATTTTTCATTGAAATCCAGAATTATACAAAAGTTTTAAGTTTAAAGTTTGATATTTGTGTTATTTCGGAAGAAAGTTCAATAAGTGCTTTTCTTTAATATTAAGGTTAGTATGGCTCGTATTCTTTGAAAATGGATCTGAAATCCATATACTTAATTTTCTTAGATCTTCGATCTATGGGTAACATTATCAAAAATGTTGGTGCAGTACTTGCAAATAATCTGAAACAAATAGCACATCTTTTGGATTCATATTTAGCGATGTGAAAACTTCGTCAAATCGAACATTTTAGAATTTCTTTTATGTAAACATTGCCAGAATTTTTTTTAAGCTTCAATTTGTTTCAAAAAGTAAAACCATTTTTCGTATTTTCTTGGAGTGATAAATTAAAATCATTAAGAAGAAAAATTCGTACCTACTAAATACACAAATCTAGCTACCCAATCTTAATACAAGCTACGACGACCTTTAAACAAATTGTTGCATTTATTCTTGTAGAGCTGGGATAGAATCCTATCTTTTGAGAACCATCTTAAATCTGCACGAAGAAGAAGATTATGCACTATCACATAACGTTATGAAAAATCGAGGAGGCTGCGACAAAACTTCATTAACAATTTTCACTTGGCTAAATTCTGGTGACAATTCGGTAGCTAAACATTCTTCCTTGGTCGTCTCCTATGAGTCCATATCAATTCTCATATCAAATATTTTTAAAGGTGACGGTTATCAAAAAAAAAGAATTCCGATAATTTTCTAAGGAACAAAAAAGTTAACTTGATCTAAATCGGTTTATTTCGACCCAAAGCAACTATTCTTGAAGTGTGTTACTTCTTTATTGGACACTTTATAGGCAACTACAGAAAAAAACAAATTATATAAATTATGCTACAATTCCAACAGTCCTGTTGAAATATTTTCCTCTCAACCCTAGATTGGGGGCTGTGAAACGTGCAAAAAATGAAATCCAAATTAACCCGCACGACTAACAAAATTTTATTTCACGGCCTGCCCAGTTAAATTAATGACGGCAATTTTTAAAGTAGCTTCCGACATTATTTATTAATGCATCATCCTGAATATAAACAGATCTCTTTTTATTTAATCGTTTATGCCGAATGTAGAGCAGGAGCAGTATGGGTGCTGGTAAGAATAGCTTTCTCAGACCTATATTCCGAATACATAGGGCCGTTTTTCCATTTCCCTAGACTACGGGACATACCAGAAGGTTGGACTTCACGTTACAGTTACATTTTATCGACCTGCGCTAGATTTAAACTCCATAGGATGAGGAACGTTTAAATTCAGATACATTACTAAAATGGCTACCTTCTTATAATATTTAATATTGGTTTACTTAGTGGTTACAATGTTCGTGCATATTGAAACTATACCTACCATGTACATTAGCCAGAAGTTGAGCACATACCTACATGTCATGGAACATGTGATATCCCGATCCATATTACATAGATATATTTAAATAATCATGATTATTTTACAGTAACAAATGCAAAATCAATAAAAACATTATACAGGGTGGCCTGTAAGAAAGTGTACAAAATTGAATGCGATATCCTTTAGGTAAAAATAAGCAAAAGAGTTATTTATTCAGGGTGTCCGGATGCGAATGGGTCGTACTTTTAAGGGTAGCTTCCTTTGAATGAAAATTAGCCAATTTAGACCAAGTTACTCTTGTATAATTTTGCTTCCTTTAAAAGTTACGCGTCTTTGAAGAACATTTAAATTTTTTTTTTCTTTCCTTGCTATTTTTTCTCAAGACATTTTTAAATGACGGAGATGTTTTTTGTCGAAATTTTCCATGATCGTTTTGCATAAATGCGGCTGAATTTCGTTTATACAGCGCTCAACTTCCTCCTTCAAGGCGTGGGTGGTATGGACTTATTAGCCTTAGACTTTAAAAATCCCAGAGAAAAAAGTCCAACATCGTTAAATCGCATGATTGGACGGCCAATTCTGATTACCAAAACGAGAAATTACACTACTAAGAAATAACTCATGTAGTAATTGAATTGTTGAAACCACATGTCATCTACATGTTACTATTTAGGTACAAGAAACGTTTATCATGTCGCGATAGCGAGCACCGTTAACTGTTATTGCCTAACCAGCCGCATTCTCGAGGAAAAATGGTCCGATGATGCTTCCAGGCATACAAAATTAATATAAATACCTAGGCATAAATTAAACAAAAAATATGTACCTACCTAAATATACAAGTAGTCTAATATTATAATTAGCACGAATAAATTAGAAAGAAAAATAAAAAAAAAATTTCAAGGATGGTTTTCCAAATGTACCTATACCACCATCGTCATCTTCATCAACCTATACTATTTTCTTATTTGTACTTCTAATTTCATTTGCAAATCCTTCAAAGTTTTTAGTAACTTTTGTAAATTTAGTAACCGGGATTATAATTTTGTTGTCGAAGCATGCGGTAGCCTGAAAGAGTTCATCTGATAACACAACCGCACGAAAAAAAAGTTGTCTGTACTTTTCGTGCGATATATGTTATCCGTAGTATTTTTGCCTCCTGACCACAAATCCGGTGTCAAAATTGAGTTATCACATCACAGGAATTTCGTAACCTCAAAAAACAGATCAAATATAGAAAAAATTCACGAAAAAGTGCTAGGAAAAGTACAAAAAAATGTTCAAATGTTCATTTGTATGGTTAAGAGCCCGCCAAACGTGAATCCGCGGTCAGAATTGATGATTCTTTTTCTAACCTAAAAAAACGAGTCAATTAAGTTCAGATATCACGAATTTTCAAAAAATAACAGATTTGCGCCAAGTTTGGTATACCTACGGGGGTTTTCGGGGTTGCTGATCACATATCCGAGGTTAATTTTGCAAAATTCAAGATGGCGGATCCAAAATAACAGACCAAATTTTCAAAAAATTACACATTCGCGCCATATTTTGTATACGGGGGTTTTCGAAGTCACTGATTACGATTGGGTACTCAGGTTCAGTAAAGTTTCCATAGTTGTAGGTTGCAGTAGATGTAGTTGTACTTATTTCCATTCAAATAAATGAAAGATATGACTTCGATGCTTGATTTATATTAACTGATCCTTTCTTATGTATCCTGGCTATACTGTTGAATTATTCCGAGCAAGTAGTAGTTACAATATAGTATAACAAGAAATGTCTGCTTCATATTCGAATTAATAAAGAACACAAAAACTTCATCTAGTATAGTAAATGCGTACAATTCATTTTGATGATAATATCTAGGTACCTACAATAGCAACATTGGTATATTATTGAAAAACAATGTTAATATTAAGGTTGTCAGCAATGTCTGTTGACATTGATGTCTTTTAGGTTGAGAATGTTTATTCCGGACACGATTTAAAGAAAACTGTATTTACACCATATTTCACTTTTCATGGAGCCACCCTCTCGCTACGAAATAATTACCAGCAAAGCGATTAGTTTAATATAACCAAATCTGATTTTAATCATAGGCTTGCGGTTCTAAAACAAGAGGGACTTTTGAAAAACGTATATTAGCAATTTTTTTCTAAAAGTTAGTACTGTATTCTAATATATAATTATAAACATTTAGTTTCATTACTTTAATGTAACCAATAATTAAAAAATATCAAAGTTAAACAAGCGTTTCCTTTTTTTTTTGGTTTATATTAAGCTCACATTCTCGAGAAAATGTTTTTTATTCAGCTGTTAAAAAACGATTAGACTAGGAATCTATCTGCTCCTGTTTAATGAAAATATCCACATCAAGGAATACATGGCAAAAGAAGAAAAAACATTAAATAACTAAATAATTGTCTTCTTTTCTGGAGCACTAATACGAAAAATAGTTTATAATGGTAGGCTTCGTATTAGAGAGGATTTAGAATTTAGAAAAATAAATTACACAGATATGAGGCGAAATAACTAGACAAGAAAGAAGAAAAGTAAAAAAGGGAGAAAAATGAAGAGAAAGATTTAGTTATTTAATGTTGTTTTTTTGCTATCAATATTTTCACGCCAAATTTTGTTTATCAACTACATGTATAAAAAATTACTTCAGAGCTAAATAGATTTATAGAAAATAAAAAGTAAACGAAGGAAACGAAACGAAACATATCTAACTTCAGTAATTTTTGAACTAACGGTTGTACATAGTAAAAAGCTTTTGGTACCCATATCTCGAACACTTTTAAAAATATTTTATTCAAATTTGGTAGAATGATTTCAGCAGATGCTAAATTGGAGAATATCACATATTATAAATATGATAAAGAATCGTTAACAAATTTTTTAAAGACCACACTTTTTAATTTTAAAACAAGGCGCCTATAATTAAAAAGAGGAATAAATTGGATAGCTAGATTTTATATATTTTTGTTAATAATAGTTTATTAAGTTACTATTTCGATTTATCATTACAGGTTGATTTCGGCGAAGTATTCATCCCCCCTAATCTAGAAGTACCAAAACCCAGAGTCCTCCCCGAATTCAAGAGACTTGCTCACGGACTACGTTCAGACAATATAAGCATCCTAGACGCCAAAACATTTTATATTCCAAATTTACACTACGACGGAGCCGGTCCAGACGCGTATTTCTGGGTTGGAAACGGATCAGAGCCCAGTCCCTTTGGAATCAAAGTCCCCAATGAGATGGGTTCGTTGGAGCCGCTGAGAGGTTACCAAGGTGAAGACATAGAAATTCAACTTCCTGGGTCTCTGACGGTCTACGATATTGATTGGTTGGCCGTTTGGTGTGTGCAGTACAGGCACAACTTTGGACACGTGATGATTCCGAAGGATCTGGACGTTCCTCCGGCTTTGGGCCAAACAAAAATATCGGTAAATAAACGAAAAACAAAGAAAAGCAAATCGGGACGAAAACATCATTGAGTGTTTCAGTTTCTTCATGTCATCTTCATCTTTTATCTTACTAATTTCCATTTCTCCTTAATCTTATGGTTTCATTTGTATTACCTCGTACAGCACCGAAATTAAATAAACATATTTTTTCACCGTACGTTTAATAGTTTCTCTTGCCCTAACATGATTAGCGTCTAATAAAACAGCTCAGTTTCAATCATAATATATTGCGTTAATTGAAAATGTACACACAATATCAATTTCTTAAAACGTAAAGACTACCACAAATTTTCCATTTTTATGTGTATAGGTATACTTACTCAATAATTTACAAAATTACAAAAATCATATCAAAATTTCTTATACCAAATGTGTCAAAAATATAATTTAAATATAATACATTTTATAATGTGTCAGGATATCTTTGATGAAAAGATTTGGACACCTCAATCTTTGTTTTGAACTTTCTACAACTTTTGTAGATGAAAAATGGTTGTTTTTATAGTACTTACAAGGGCTAACTTAAAAAAACCCTTCAACTTATTAGACCTGTTCCTTTACGACTTTTTTTAAATATCCGTTTATAAAAATTTAGTAATCTGTGGGTTAAGTGTGACAGTCGAACACACAGAGCACAGACTTTGCGAATCTAGCAGCTCGGTGTCTTTCTGCTTAAGTTGTTATGATAGCCTCGATACATCTCTTGTAGCTTGGGGGAAACTGCAGGATTTTGTATCAGGCGAAAATTGAAAACTCTAAACTACGAATTTTTTATTTTCTGTTACCCTTCCCTGCTTTATAGTCTCCCTTGGTGGCCCTAAACAAGCCTCTGATGGTGGTAAAGAGATGCATGATGTATTTCATCTTAATAGTGAATTATTCGAAAGAATGGTAAAATATACTACCACTCAGAATCAACCAATTCGAAAGGTAGGCGGTTTCGAGGCTAATAGTAGGTACAATTACAATAGCTAAGGTACAGATAAAAAATAAAGTTAAGCTTACGCTTATCCATAAATCCTGACGAGTGTAGGTTAAGAGTTCCAGGAAATATAAAATCGGAAAATTTCTTCCTGAACAAAGATTGTTGCCCTGCGTGGCAGACCGTATTCTATGTATTCAAACTTTTAGATCTGACGACGCCCCTAAAACTATGCATAGAAAATATCGGCAAATAGACGAACCCTCTTCTTCTAATGCAGATAAGATCTTAATTTTTAGATAAGAATAATTAAAAAAGGTCTGAAGGAACATGACCATATTGAAGAAATTACCCTTTTCCGTTAAAAAAAAAGTATCACTAACGTCACCGGTCATTATGTACTTCTTATAAAAAAGTGAGCAACTAAAAATAAAAATCGTGCATCTCATTGATTTTCTCAAAAAAAGTTTGCATGCCTTTTAATTGAATGAACTTTAATGAACTGACGTACTGTACAATATTTAAAAACATTCCCAAATAAAAAAAGAAAAAGAATAACAAAAAAATTTGTACAGATAAAAATAGGAATACATATCTTAAACACAACTGATTTCCTTTCCATTTAAACCGTTTTAAAAAATACTGGTTTTATTTCTTATTGTAATAAACTATTTCTTTTCGTGACCAATTTTGTTTCAATGTTAATTTTAGCAGTGTCATCTAATTTGTATTTTTTTTATTTACAAGCCGCCTTGGTGGTATAATCCAGTAAGTATAAATTTTATGAGCATGATTGTTTGTAGACATTTTCCAGTTGTGTTAATTACAGTCATGAGTAATAGTAAAAGTAGCATATAGCGTATAAAATGCAGTGAGCTTTTCTAGTAGTTTACAGCAAATTTGCTATATTCATTTATATTTAATGTGATTTATATAAAATATGTTTATAATGATCTGTCACGAATTATTTTGTAAATCCATTAAACTACGTATAGTAATTCCACCCAGAAATATCTATAATGTGTTTCAGACAACATGTGTCGTCACTGTCGAAAAAGGTTATTCATCCACCAATAAGAATGAACGTTATTTGATTATAAACTTCTGGGACATTTTTTTTAAATAAACAAAGGAACTATTATTTTTGTACAAAATAAATAATACAATAAATATCCGAAGTACTTAATTATAAAGTTCAATCGGCGATTTACGTATCACTAGGGAACGGAATTGGGTGCGCGTTTATCAACTCCGACATCACCGCGGCGGATTCGGAATCGTGAGTGAATTCAAAGAATCGATTCTGACAACGAAATTGGTATCGATGATTCGAATCCTCCAAGTTCCTTGTCTTGGTACCTGCTTACGAGCGATGGCGCATGTTTTTGAAACACTCTGTATAGTCATGCTCTTGCATACTATATCGAAGAACATATTGACTAATATCGACCAAGTTATTAATTCAATCCACTATATACAGAGTGTTGATAGATTATTTCGCAAATTTTCAAGACATACAGATTTTATGATACGTTTGGGTTTATTTAAATTACATTTTTTTTTCCTTAATTACATGGAAATCTATATCTTTGAAAAAAAAAGATTATTACGGGATTGGGGTTTGTGCTTTTTATATATTATAATTTGTCTTTCCCTGATGATAGCAAACCAGTAGGAAGGAAAATAGAACATTCTTATACTAAATTAAAAGGGCCCCATTACTTTTAAAAAATTGGCAATCAACTAGTGATTGCCACCTCCTAAAACTATCTCTTAGATAACACGTGTGATTTCATAATACGTAAATTAGTGTCCGGATTATATAAGTTTAAAATATGACTAGATATAGAAATACTTTTAGGATATCGCAAAGAACCACCCACTTTTAAGGGATCTCTCTAATTATCCATTATCGAAAATAGTATGTTATTTTTTGAAACGATAATTTAGGACTTCTCTGTAATATCTTATATATAAAATTCTCGTGTCACAATGTTCGTTCCCGTACTCCTCCGAAACGGCTGGACCGATTTTGATGAAATTTTGTGTGCTTATCGGGCAGGTCTGAGAATCGGCCAACATCTATTTTTCATACCCTTAAATGTTAAGGGTGGTCCACCCCAAAATTTTTTTTTGTTGTTTTTTGGACAAAATTTTATTTTTTTATTTTTTTATGATGTGGCCTTAAAAAATACATACAATCCTAAATTTTCACCCTTCTACCATCAACCCTTATTTTTTAATAGCGATATTAGTAATTCAATAATTTTCAACCCCGGTCGATAACTGATCAATTATCACTTGATCATTTTTTTTATCCCCGCCAGGCGTCGACCGGTGTCACTTCTGACCCAGTAAACACAGCACGGAGTAGGGATGAGACCTCTCTCACACAATGAGCCGTTTCTCACTCCCTACAGTTTTCGGCCATTATTATTATTGTTTGTGCATCAACCGTAATAATGACATTTACTATTACTATTAATAAAAAAAATATACACGATATACACTGAATAACACTAAATATAATATAGATGGTAGAAGTGAAATTTCTTTATGAAAAATCTACTAAAATAATCCTAGGA